TCAATGTAATTTTCAGTTTTTTCAGTTGCATTGTTCTTTTTCCAGAGTACCCTTACCATGAAGAAGCAGGCAGTGAAAGACAGCACCAAGAGCAACACTATGTCTTATCCATGCGTACAATACATGACATGTGGCAAGATTTAGGACATTGTCAAATATTCTGATAACAACAACCTCTTCCAGAAACCCATTATAAGAGGTAATCTGCATCTGGCATTGATAGTAAGGAGAAGTCTTGTATGGGTATATATTGTATATTGTTTTCCAGATAACAGTTATAGGTAATTTGCAACCTCTTACACAAACGACCTCAAATCATCACATTTGCTATTTTATTTTATAATCACATTGCAAAATTATTAACATTTAAATATTTTGAGCCATGGAATTTGCCAGTGTTTTCAGTGTAATTTTTAATTTTTTCAAAGATATTGTCGGAAGAAGATACTTTTCATTGGACACAGTCATTTGATCAGCATATCACAGATTTTTATTGTTGTTAAATTTCATTTGTACAAATTTCAGAAACACTGGACAAGATTTGACAAAATTATTAACGTTTAACTATTTTAAGTCCTGGTATTTGCCAGTCTTTTCAATATAATTTTTCAGTTTTTTCAGTTATATTGTTCTTTTTCCAGAGTACCCTTACCATGAAGAAGCAGGCAGTGAAAGACAGCACCAAGAGTAGCACTATGTCTTATCCAGGTGTACAATACATGATATGTGGCAAGATTTAGGACATTGTCAAATATTTTGATAACAACAACCCATTCCAGAAACCCTTTGTAAGGAGTAATCTGCATCAGGCATTGATAGTAAGGAGAAGTCTTGTTTGGGAATATATTGTTTTACAGATGACAGTTATAGGTAATTTGCAACCTTCTACACAAACAAACTCAAATCATCACATTTGCTGTTTTCTTTGAGAGTAAATAATACACTGCAATATTGAAATATTTGTTTTGGTTACGTAATTCTCACACTTCTGATTATCAATTTCCCATAAACTTGACACTTAAAAAAAGACAAATACAACTGATCAGCTTATCACAGATTTTTATTGTTGTTAAGCATAATTTGTACAGATTTCAGAAACATTGGACAAGATTTGTCAAAATTATTAACATTTAACTAATTTAAGTCATGGAATTTGCCAGTGTTTTTGGTGTAATTTTAAGATTTCTCAAAGATATTGTCGGAAAAAGATACTTTTCATTGGACACAGTCAACTGAACAGCTTATCATAGATTTCTATTGTTGTTAAGCATCATATGTACAAATTTCAGAAATATTGGACAAGATTGACGAAATTATTAACGCTTAACTATTTTAAGTCCTGGGATTTGCCAGTCTTTTCAATGTAAATTTCAGTTTTCCCAAATATTTTGTCCCAAAAAACACTTTTCATTAGACACAGTCAACTGATCAGCCTATCACAGATTTTTATTATTGTTAAGCATCATTTGTACAAAATTCAGAAATATTGGACAAGATTTGACTAAATTATTAACGTTTAACTATTTTAAGTCCTGGGATTTGCCAGTCTTTTCAATGTAAATTTCAGTTTTCCCAAATATTTTGTCCCAAAAAACACTTTTCATTAGACACAGTCAACTGATCAGCCTATCACAGATTTTTATTATTGTTAAGCATCATTTGTACAAAATTCAGAAATATTGGACAAGATTTGACAAAATTATTAACGTTTAACTATTTTAAGTCCTGGTATTTGCCAGTCTTTTCAATATAATTTTTCAGTTTTTTCAGTTATATTGTTCTTTTTCCAGAGTACCCTTACCATGAAGAAGCAGGCAGTGAAATACAGCACCAAGAGCAGCACTATGTCTTATCCATGTGTACAATACATGATATGTGGCAAGATTTAGGACATTGTCAAATATTTTGATAACAACAACCCATTCCAGAAACCCATTGTAAGGAGTAATCTGCATCAGGCATTGATAGTAAGGAGAAGTCTTGTTTGGGAATATATTGTTTTACAGATGACAGTTATAGGTAATTTGCAACCTTCTACACAAACAAGCTCAAATCATAATCACATTTGCTGTTTTCTTTGAGAGTAAATAATACACTGCAATATTGAAATATTTGTTTTGGTTACGTAATTCTCACACTTCTGATTATCAATTTCCCATAAACTTGACACTTAAAAAAAGACAAATACAACTGATCAGCTTATCACAGATTTTTATTGTTGTTAAGCATCATTTGTACAGATTTCAGAAACATTGGACAAGATTTTACAAAATTATTAACGTTTCACTATTTTAAGTCCTTGGATTTGCCAGTCTTTTCAATATAAATTTCAGTTTTCCCAAATATATAGTCACAAAAAGACACTTTTCATTAGGCACAGTCAACTGATCAGCTTATCACAGATTTTCATTGTTGTTAAGCATCATTTGTACAAATTTCAGAAATATTGGACAAGATTTGACAAAATTATTAACATTTAACTATTTTAAGTCATGGGATTTGCCAGTCTTTCCAATGTAATTTTGAGTTTTTTCAGTAATATCGTTCCTTTTCCAGAGTATCCTTACCATGAAGAAGCAGGCAGTGAAAGACAGCACCAAGAGCAGCACTATGTCTTATCCATGTGTACAATACATGATGTCTGTTAAGATTTAGGACATTGTCAAATATTGTGATAACAACAACCCATTTAGGAAACCCATTGTAAGGAGTAATCTGCATCTGGCATTGATAGTAAGGAGAAGTCTTGTATGGGAATATATTGTTTTCCAGATAACAATTATAGGTAATTTGCAACCTCCTACACAAACAACCTTAAATCGTCACAATTGCTGTTTTCTTTCAAAGTAAATAGTACAGTGCATTATTGCAATATTTGTTTTGGTTAATTCTCACTATTCTGATTATCAGTTTCCGATAAACTTGACACTTAAAAAAAAGAGAGACTACTGATCACCTTATCACAGATTTTCTTTGCTTTTAAGCATCATTTGTACAAATTTCAGAAATTTTGGACTAGATTTGACAAAATTATTAACATTTAACTATTTTAAGCCATGGAATTTGCCAGTGTTTTCAGTGTAAATTTCAGTTTTTTCAAAGATATTGTCCAAAGAAGATACTTTTTATTAGACACAGTCAAGTGATCAGCTTATCACAGATTTTTATTGTTGTTAATCATCATTTGTACAAATTTCAGAAATATTGGACTAGATTTGACAAAATTAATAATGTTTAACTATTTTAAGTCCTGGGATTTGCCAGTCTTTTCAATGTAAATTTCAGTTTTCCCAAATATGTTGTCCCAAAAACACTTTTCATAAGATACAGACAACTGATCAGCTTATCACAGATTTTCATTGCTGTTAAGCATCATTTGTACAAATTTCAGAAATATTAGACAAGATTTGACTAAATTATTAACGTTTAACTATTTTAAGTCCTGGGATTTGCCAGTCTTTTCAATGTAAATTTCAGTTTTCCCAAATATGTTGTCCCCAAAAAAAAAAACACTTTTCATTAGACACAGTCAACTGATCAACCTATCACAGATTTTTATTGTTGTTAAGCATCATTTGTACAAAATTCAGAAATATTGGACAAGATTTGACGAAATTATTAATGTTTAACTATTTGAAGTCCTGGGATTTGCCAGTCTTTTCAATGTAATTTTCAGTTTTTTCAGTTATATTGTTCTTTTTCCAGAGTAACCTTACCATGAAGAAGCAGGCAGTGAAAGACAGCATCAAGAGCAGCACTATGTCTTATCCATGTGTACAATACATGACATGTGGCAAGATTTAGGACATTGTCAAATATTCTGATAACAACAACCCCTTCCAGAAACCCATTATAAGAAGTAATCTGCATCCAGCATTGGTGGTAAGGAGAAGTCTTGTATGGGTATATATCGTTTTCCAGATAACAGTTATAGGTAATTTGCAACCTCTTACACAAACGACCTCAAATCATCACATTTTCTATTTTATATTATAATGACATTGCAAAATTATTAACATTTAACTATTTTAAGCCATGGAATTTGCCATTGTTTTCAGTGTAATTTTTTGTTTTTTCAAAGATATTGTCGGAAGAAGATACTTTTCATTGGACACAGTCAACTGAACAACTTATCATAGATTTCTATTGTTGTTAAGCATCATTTGTACAAATTTCAGAAATATTGGACAAGATTTGACGAAATTATTAATGTTTAACTATTTTAAGTCCTGGGATTTGCCAGTCTTTTCAATGTAAATTTCAGTTTCCCCAAATATGTTGTCTCAAAAAACACTTTTCATTAGACACAGACAACTGATCAGCTTATCACAAATTTTTATTGTTGTTAAGCATCATTTGTACCAATTTCAGAAATATTGGACAAGATTTGACTAAATTATTAACGTTTAACTATTTTAAGTCCTGGGATTTGCCAGTCTTTTCAATGTAAATTTCAGTTTTCCCAAATATGTTGTCCCAAAAAACACTTTTTATTAGACACAGACAACTGATCAGCTTATCACAGATTTTTATTGTTGTTAAGCATCATTTGTACAAATTTCAGAAATATTGGACAAGATTTGACAAAATTATTAACATTTAACTATTATAAGCCATGGAATTTGCCAGTCTTTTCAATGTAGGTTTCAGTTTTCCCAAATATATAGTCACAAAAAGACACTTTTCATTAGGCACAGTCAACTGATCAGCTTATCACAGATTTTCATTGTTGTTAAGCATCATTTGTACAAATTTCAGAAATATTGGACAAGATTTGACAAAATTATTAACATTTAACTATTTTAAGTCCTGGGATTTGCCAGTCTTTCCAATGTAATTTTCAGTTTTTTCAGTAATATTGTTCCTTTTCCAGAGTACCCTTACCATGAAGAAGCAGGCAGTGAAAGACAGCACCAAGAGCAGCACTATGTCTTATCCATGTGTACAATACATGATGTTTGGCAAAGTAGTTTCATCTTTTCATTTATTTTGCCCTTAATATTAATTTTTGGACAAGGTAATTTTCAGTTATTATTTATTTCTCTCATTATGTTTCATAAGCATAATATACGTAAGATAAATAGGAATTTGTCCCAAATGAATAAAAAAGAACTTAAATTTTTATAAATATATAATGATAATAATACAAATAAAATGTTTATGGCTAGAAAAAAAGTCAGGGACTGCATATTCATGTTTGATATAACTAATTGATTTATATATATCTAATTTAAAATATGTCTTATATGCTAGGCATTTTATTCCAGATATATTTACTGGACAGACTTATATTTGTATATATGTGCTCATGTCTTTCCTTTTTTTTCTTTTTTTTTTTTTTTTTTTTTATAAAATGACTAGAAATTACTATTTAGCCACATGTAAAAGTATTCAGTTTTGGATAAAATGTATTCATTTTGTGATTCAGAATTTTGATTTTACTTCCTCGATGAATTATTTCCCTTTCTGAGTTGAAACATTCCCAGCAAATGTGCTATTTCAGAAACAGCTGCCACTGTGGTCCCCATTATACTTGTGGTCATCCTATTAGAGGTCATAAAAGTTGTGTTCCTTTTTCTGCAAAGAAGAGGGTCAGATTTCTCTTTCTCTGTCCCTCTCTCTACTTCTCGCTCTCGCAAAGAATTTTAAGAAAAATTTGTGAAAGCCATCTTAGATGATATCAAATACATCTTAGCAAATAAGGTATTCATTATCAAACAGATTTTTCTTCAAGGCACATCAGGTATAATCTTTACAGCAATTTTTTTGTAATTCATTTGATATTTATTATAAGTCCAGATCTTAATCTTTTGGTAATGATATCAAACGATTCCCCTGAATATTGAAATAGTTGTTGCTATGATTTCAGTATGAGCAAGGTCCTGCATTCCAGTGGTGGGGGCGAGTTCAGACTGGGGCACCTGCAGGAACGATGGCTTTCCATGGATGGAGGCAATGTTGTGGCAATTAGCATGCCAGAATGTGTATATGACATCTCTGTGGCACAGAATGGGGTATATAGTCACATATTGTATAGAAATGTGATCAGTAAAAGATTTGAGGGTTTAATTTAAATACTCGATTGAGACAAAAGACAGAAGATTCGGAACTATGAAGTATGCAGTATTTTGCATATATATCAGAAAAGCAGGTATACAGCTTCATCTTTTTTTAATTAATTAATTAATTAATTATTATTATTATTTTTTTTTGCTTGTTTTGTTTAGTTCTTTTGTCTTTTTTCACAAATTGCCTGTGAATATTTTATGCTTCATTAACTTTTAAATTTTCTTTTTATTCATTGGTCTAAAGTGTTCATCTTTTTTCTCATAGGATGCAATGGAACCAAAGTACAACAAAATGGAAAATTTGGAAGACTACAACAAAGCAACCAATTTCTCCACCCCAGTGTATGACAATAAAACAGGATTAGAACCTGCTAAATCCATGAAAATAAAAAAGGATATCACCAGTGGAGTATTAGACAACCAGTCATCAGAGATCACAGTCCATATACCACATAAAGAACTCTGTCCTTCAGTAATGGAAAACCGATTAAAACACTGATGTTTTAGTCACTAAGAGAGATTTATGAGACCAAAGATTTTTTGAGCGTAAAAATTCTTGATGATCATTCCACAGATGCAGCAAAATTCGAGAGGGAATATGTCTCGCACAAAACAGAATAGATGTTGGTAGTTATAATGGAACTTTATTATGAATTGTTATATTAAACCCATATAATATATTTGTTCTCTTATGGGTGCAGCTTTCCAACTCTGATGAAGAATTGGAATTCCTGTTTACTAAATAATTCCAGATAAAATGTTACGCTATTAAAGAGTCATTCCTCCTGTTTGAATATAGTGTTTGTGCTGATGTTCTGTTTGCAGAATTTTTAGCCCACATGCTTGCACATAAAATATTCCTCAAAGAACTCTCATACCAATATTTGGTTTATTTGCTGCTAATTTAACAATAAGAAATCAGTTAACAGATTTTTAAAATCTTGATTAATCTGTAGGCTTTACAGATTGCAAGACGTAACCATGAGACTGTATTATTACATAGTAGTTAGCACATATATTAACTGGATTAATGGACTGAATT